ATTTTCAGATTGCCACAAAGGCTGCCTGGACTACAGACCCTTCAGTGATATCACTTCAGCTGCGAGGAAACATACCCACATTTCTCAAAAACTGTTAATAATGTTTCCAGTTAAAATGAACCACTAAATTATCTGCAACATTGTAATACTTTCATGTTGATTTTAAAATTAAAAATATATTAATAGGTTTTACTTTTCTGACTCAGCCATTTCCTTCTTGAATATCTGTATTAGAATTTTTTTTTGATATTAGATCACTTATCCCGATCACTGTCTTGTGATGCACAAGGAGTGCATCTGCATGAGAAGCTTACTGCAGAGCTGCCTAATTAGCTCCACAATAAAGCATCACCATCTACATGAGCTGGAGGCTAGAGTAAACTAATTAACTCTGCCATTGGATAGTACTGCCCAACACAAGTACTGTTCTATGGTGGAGTTATTTACTCCACCAGAACGCACATGAAGATGGTGACTGGGGCTGGCTGGAGCATGAGTGTGCTACAGTGTGGGGCTGCCTGCCTGCACACGTATAAATGCTGCACCTGGGAGCAATAAACTCTGGCACAAATTGTGACTGAGTTTATTGCATCACATTAATATCCACTTGTAGATCAGGGTAAAGCATTTTCTCAAGGAAAGCCTTTGATCAGCTAGCTTCTTGTTCAGATGAGCAGTTAATGGAATTGCATTTCCCCCATCTTGACTCTCATCTTCAAATGCTCTATTCCACTATCCTTCCATCTCCCAGTCTCTCGTTTGTTTTACCTTCTGCCACCACATCCACTCTCTTAGGTCCAGTTTCACTTTCGTCTTTTGTTACCACCAAAATCTACCATTTTCACGTTGCGCTTTCTGCAGAAGCCATTGTTTACGCTGTTTTTCTCTGGCTTATATTATGGTAACCACCTCCTATCTATTTCTTCTCATCTTCTTCCTACCGCCACTCTTCCTGAAATCTCACCAGTAAAGTTATCATCCCCTCGTGTCACTCCAAATTTATTGAGAATTCGTCTTGAATCTGTTTGTTCTTGACCTGTCTCTTAGCACTTCAAATTAAAGTTCCTTGCCCTCGTCTGGAAGTCTTGTGTTTCCCAATTGTCACTCTCTTTATTTCCTTCATGCATTTCACTTTGGATCATCTGGCATTCTGCTGCCCTTTTTAGGAACTGTCTCCTGTTTCCTGATCACCACATTTTCTCTATATGCCTGTTTCAAAATCTTTCCTAACTTCTCCTAATCAACAGTAACTCCTTACATTCCTTTTTCTAATTATTCTTGCTCCAGGTTTCTTTCTGTGCAAAGGCACTGAAGTTTGTGGAAGGCTTTCTATTGATTGATGCTTTTGGGGGTTGAGAAAATATGACTTAGGTTTGCAAATCTCACCTTCCCTTTCGGTTTCAATATTTTCTTGGCTAGCACCTTCTGTTGCTACCTCTGTGACTACAGCTCGACTTCTCCCCTTTTCTCATTTATGTATATGATCTTTGGCTGGACCTCAAACTTATGATTTCTAAATGGTCTAAGCCAATTTATGGTTATACTAACAACTCTGTCTTCATGTATGAGTGTGACTATTGAAAATACGTCATTTTTATGCTGCTGGTTGCCATCTTCACTTCTTGAATTTTTTTCATGCTTTATAATTCTAAATGCTTTGACTCAGCTTTAAATTGTGAGACTTCTGGTTAAGATATGGAGACTTCTGGATAAGATAAAAAGAAGGGTCCTTTTATACTTTCATGCAGTCCTAGCTAAAAATTCTGCTGTTTGGTTCCCCATAACTTTTCCTTAAAACAGATTTTGAAATAAATAACCTTTTACAATCTCAGTGTAATCTTAAACTCTAAATTAGAGTCCTAAATTAGAGTTTGGAATTCTAAATCCTAAATCAGCATTTACTCTAGTACAAAGACCTCCACAAGAAAGATGCACTTACAGATGAATGAAGCTGTAATACCTTGTTCTTCAACCAGTGTCCCAGTCACTGCTTTATGGGATTTTCATTTAATCTTTCAGGCTATCCTCTCTTCATCCCCCAACTTTTCTTTATATGCAGGGCCTACATTACAAGGTCTGGTTAATTCAGTACTCACACCAAACTCCTTATTATACTGTCTTTCTGCTTCTAACGTAGTTTTTCATTGCTGTCCCTCACAGTTTAAGGTACAATATAGACAGCTAACTAAACATCTTGTGTCTAAATTCCTTAATGTGCTTTAAAAAAATACAATGCAATTACCTTTGAAATCTTTAAACTAATCAATTGTATTTTTTCAGTGTTGGAGGGCAGGAGGTTTGAGGTGTTCATATTTCATAAACTTTTTGATTTAATGATCTGTTTAAAAAAAGTAAAACTGATGCTAAGCTTTTTCACTTCAAAGTATACTGGGCACTCATTACATCTGAAGGAAATCTTTTCTTTTATGTTAATTTTCTAATTATGTTACCCAGATACACTGCGAGAGCTTATTATAAGAGACATCTATACTCCTAATATTTAAATATAACTAATCCATTCTATCCAAATGGAGTGAGCCCTGGGGTATAGCCAACAAAAATCATAAGCTCTTAACCAGCACGTTCATCCACCCTTGAAATGAATAAGAAGAATATCTCCTTCAGCCCTGCTACTGTGTTCAACCTTGTGTTCAGGGGTCTGTTGTTTTTTTTTTTTTTTTTAAACTCAGAAAAACCAAAATGGGCATCATTTAAGAGCATCTTAACTGAAAATAAAAGTTGATAACTAAACACTGCTTCATGGGCAACCAAACTTCAAAGCAGAATTATGCTTCCTTCTACTTGGCCTAC